TTTTGCACTGCATATGAGCAGGCAGGTAGCATTGCCACAGGAACAAGGGAACTTCCCATCCTACCACACCAGAGAACCCCCCCGAGAGCCCTAAAGGATCTGAGCCATTCTGTGACCTTCTGTTCTCCTTTCAGGCTCACTTGCCGCAACAGGGGGTTGGGCTGGATTTACTCTTGCCTTAAGTGCTGGGCTCTGTTTTAGGGGCGTGTTTTGTTGGAGTCAGAAGGTCTTTTCTTGTAGGAACCCTACAGAACTTTCCTTGGGCCTCTGGCTGGTCGTTGGTGGTCTGCTGAACATAGCTCTCCTGACCTCAGCTGCATTTCCCTTAACGCTCTGACGCATCTCGGTACTTATGGCGTCTTAGGCCTGAGACTTTACCAGCCGAGTGGCCATTCTTCTGGTTTTAGTTAGACTTAAGAAGGTTTCAGTGGGTTTTCTTTCTGACGTCTCACACACAGAGAGAACCTTTGCACACACACACACCCCTTCCTCTCTGATTTCACTGTCATTTCCCAGCCTGAGCATTCTGATCGCTTGTTAACCCGCAGAGAAATGTTTTCAAGCTTCCCCCCCCCTTAACATATCTGTATAATGCTCTCAGCCCCATTTCTTTCCCTGGTCTTCAGCCTGTTTTTGCCTCCTCCTTGCTTCCTAACCAAGGAGTCCTTTAGGCCTGCAGCTGTCACTTCCATCACATTTTGTTATGTCTTCTATTCCAAGGAGCAGAACTGGTGTACGGAGCTGCCAGGCTCCTTCAGAACAGGGCTGCAACGAAAAGGGATCCACTTCCCATAGCTGATGCCGTGTTGGTTTTGGTAGCGTGGTCTCACCTGGGTAGGGACCAGTAGCGTGGGTCCCTTTTAGAAATATTCATTTCCTGCCAGTAGCGTGGGTCCCTTTTAGAAATATTCATTTCCTGCCTTTCTCTCAGAGAGGCCTCTATGACAATCCTTGCAGAGGTTTATGGCTGTCGTCATGACCATCACAATTTGAGCCCCCAAAAAGGGTTGCCAAGAAAATGATGTGTTCCATTTTAAGTCCAATAAACAATTGAAACGAGGCTCTTCCCTGCCACTGTCTGGTGAGCTGTTGCTACTTATTTAGTGTGTTCGTAATCTGTTTTGTTTCTGTCATGGAATTCAAGACGGAAAGAAGAATAGGGCTCACCAAAGAAAACGACTCTTCTATATCTTTAACACACTTAGTTGTATTATTATACCAAATTTCCTTATAACACATTTCCTGTATTAACTAGTGTTCATTCATTATATATGAAGTACATTTCACAAACATAGGGAAAGCCAGTAAATGATACTATAAGGTCCCTTACATTCCTTGGAACTACATGTTTTCAAATGAAGGAGTGATAAATAGTGTTCGGGAACTCAAATAATGAGGACTGCTCAGTTTGCTTTGCACACTTTACAGCTCCGTCAGGACGCCTCAAAGAGTAAACATTCCAGGAGCGCAGCCAAAACGACGTCAAGAATAACTACATCGAGATTTTGTATTTTTTTGTATTGTACTCATATTATCATTTACTGGCTTTGCTTATGTTGCTTAACGCTAGTTAATACAGGAAATTTGTTATAGGGAAATTTGGCATAATAATACAACTAAGTGTGTTAAAGATATAGAAGAGTCATTTTCTTTGGTGAGCCCTATTTGTCTCATTGTAATTACACCAAAGCCTGTCTAGTTTTTGATGGAATTCAAGACCGCATCCCTGGGCTGCCCCAGGAACCTCCTGACCAGACCCGCTTGGGTTGAGGAAGGGGCTGGATCATGTCCCCTCTGTCACCCAGAGCCCGGCTGCTGCTTCCTCCACCAGTTTGTTCAGTACAACTAGGGGCTTGTTAGTGGGCTGTGGACCAAGATTTCTTCTAGTCTCCCAAGAGGGTAACAGAGCTCTGCATTTAAAACACATCCACAGGCTGGATTTTTGTGCAGATATAATTGTACAACACAGAGAAGGGGGGGGAGGGAGTTCTCAGTGTTCCCTCTAACCTGAGTTAGTGTGAGCTAGCTCGCAGTTTTTTAGCCTCCGGCTCATACGTTTTTGTCTCCGCTCAGGAAGGAGGGCTCCAGAGCAAACTGATTTACGCAGTAGCCAAATCGCTCGCTCACAGCTTTAATGCCAGTAGCTCACAAAGTGGAATTTTTGCTCACAAGACTCCACAGCTTAGAGGGAGCCTAACTTCTGGTGTATGGGAAAAAGCAAAAAAACCACGAAAAGTAAAAAATGCAAATCAATGAGCAGACCCTGCTTATAGAGAGAATTCAGAGTGCTTTCTTTTTCTGCTGTGGGACCGACCAGTCACGCACCTCAAGTTCTCATTCTTGCCTGCTCTCTTTCCGGGTTCTAAAGGTGGGGAGGCGCTTGGCCTCCTTCCTGGGGAATCCTTCCATCCCTGCCCTCTACTTGTGTCTGATATACTCCGATCTTTTCAAGTATTTCTGTGTCATCGTCCGTCCCCCCCCACGGCTGCTCCCCCCCCTTCGTCTGTCTCTTCTTCTACACGGTGTCTCCTCTTTCCCCTTCAGGATTATGAGAGTAAACTCCAGGCCTTACAGAAGCAGGTGGAGACACGGTCTTTGGCTGCTGAGACCACAGAGGAAGAGGAGGAAGAAGAGGAGGAGGGTGAGTTCTCATACAGTCTAAAAAGCCTTGAGCCCAGCCTCAGATGATGGTGTGTGGTGGGATGGGGGAGAACCGGAGCGTGGGTGGGAAAAGCTATCGCCGAGGTTTTGCAGCCCTTGGTCGTGATCTGAAGAAGCGGCTGCTATTTCTGTTCTATTCCACACTTCAGACAAAAACCAGCTCCTAAGGCAGCTCGGTGGTGGAAAATGCCATCGAGTCACAGCCAAGTTATGGCAACCCCGTAGGGTTTTCAAAACAGATGGAGTTTTGCTATTGCCTTCCTCTGTGGCGGGACCTTTCGAGTTTCTTGGTCTCCCGTCCAAGCAGTAACCAGGGCCGACCCTGCTAAACTTCCAAGGTCTGATGAACTTGGGCTGGCCTGGGCCAAAGGTCACTTTGGTCGCTCCAGAGCTGGTGGGAAATGAGTTCACACACAGTTGCGGCCTGGCTGAGCTTTCCTACTGGGACGTGTGTGTATATGGGGTCCAGCCACTCAGATGGGTCTTTCCCGTCACCTGATGTCTGCGTTCCTTTGACCCTGAGGGTTCCTTTGATGGCATGGATTAAACCTGGGATCTCATGGGGGCAAAACACATCACTGCTATTGAGTTAAGACCCATCCCTAAAAAATGGGGCAAGAAACTTTTGTCGGCTTTGTTAATCTGGCTCTGTCTAAAGCAAGTTCTTAATGGTTTGTAACTAACCACAAATTTCCATGGATTTAAGGGCACTCAAGGGGGTGGATGGAGGTTTCTGCTCCCCCCCCCCCGCTTATATTTGAACTTGAGTTCCCTAGTTTACAGGACTCTTCTGAGGATAAATGGGAGGGATTTATAAGCAAGGTTCACATTAAGAGTGCCGCTTAAACCAGAAATAACGGACGCTTGTACAGAAACTAGAGTGTGTCTGTGGGTGACTCTGGAATAAAGAAGCGTTTTCCCTGCTTAAAACGCTTATATTTATTTTGGTGCCTTTTGATCCTTTTTAGAATTAGTGCAAATTCCAAACTTGTAAATAGACAGATGATTTGAAAGGGCGGGGACCGTGAGAGATTATCTCCCCCCCCCTTTCCACTACTGATTTCCCCTATCTGCCTGTTATCTTCCCGCAGTGCCCTGGACTCAGCACGAGTACGAACTCGCCCAGTGGGCTTTCAGGAAATGGAAGTATCACCAGTTTACTTCCTTAAGAGATCAGCTTTGGGGAAATGCAGTCTATCTGAAAGAAGGCAACGCGATCAGTGTGGAGCTGAAAAAGAAGGTAAGGCGTACGTGGGGGGGGGGTTATCCCGAGAAATGCAGAGCAGCTTTGCCGTGGCTGGCACTGACCGTTCAGTGGTTGTTGGTTGTGTGCTCTGCATGTAGCCGGGGACGGAGCTTGGAACAGTCAGTGCATGTCCAGAGTCGAAACATCTGTTGTGAACACTGATGCCAACTTGCTTGTCTAGCGGCGCAGGGAGGGAGAGGAAAGAGAGGAGAAGGGTTTGCGGTATTTGCACCCTTACGTTTTGCCGCAGGACTTTCTGTTTTTAATTTAAGAGAATTAAATCCCACCTCTTTGGACAAAATAAGTTTGGGACACTCCAAAGAGAGGACAGCTTTACCCAGTGCGTATAGTGACCTTGTGGAACTTGCTACTGCAATAGGCGGCCTTGGCCATTGTCTTAGATAGTACTTCAAGAGGAGGAGGAGGAGGAGGAGGAGGAGATTGGATTTATACCCGGCCCTTCACTACCCGAAGGTGTCTCAGAGCAGCTTACAAACTCCTTCCCCTTCCCCTCCCCACAACAGACACCCTGTGAGGTAGGTGAGGCTGAGAGAGCTCTTGACAGAAGCTGCTCTTTTTCAAGGACAGCTCTGAGAGAACTACGGCTTGCCCAAGGTCACCCAGCAGCTGTAAGTGGAGGAGTGGGGAATCAAACCTCGTTCTCCCAGATTAGAGTCTCTTAACCACAACACCAAACTGGCTATCAGTGGGGTATGCCTATCCGTGGGGCATATTGCCATACAGTCCACCCTCCAAACCTGTTGAAAACCACTGTAGATCAGTAATAGAAGAAGAAGAAAAAAAAGAGATTAGATTTATACCCTGCCGTTCACTACCCAAGGGAGTCTCAGAGCAGCTTACAAACTCCTTTCCCTTCCTCTCCCCACAACAGACACCCCATGAGGTAGGTGGGGCTGAGAGAGCTCTGAGAGCAACTGCTCTTTTTCAAGAACAGCTCTTATCAGAACTACGGCTTGCCCAAGGTCATCCAGCCAGGTGCATGTGAAGGAGTGGGGAATCAAACCCGGTTCTCCCAAATTAGAGTCCGCGCACTTAACCATTGCACCAAATTGGCTCTGAAAGTGTGCAGAGGGTAGCACCCATCAAGGGCCATTAGCTATCTTGAACAGTCATGTTCAGCAGTAGTATACCTCTGAGCAGCAGCTACCAGGGACGAACAGGGGAGGCAGTTGCCTTTGTGCCACAGGTCAGCGAGTGCAGAGCAATGTTCCCTCTAAGCTTGTGAGCAAAAATTCTACTTGGTGAGCTCCTGGCATTAAAGTTGCGAGTGAGCGATTTGGCCGTTGCATAAATTACTTTGCTCCGGAGCCCTCCTTCCTAAGGTAAGACAAAAATGTGTGAGCTGGAGGCTTAAAGAACTGCGAGCTAGCTTACACTAACTCAGCTTAGAGGGAACACCGGTGCAGAGGCATCTGGCTGGCTGTAATGGCAGGGATGAGTAGACCTTGGGCCAGATCCAGCAGGGAATTTCCTGTGTCCCTACCTCAGATGGAGTCAAGCTTCTGCCAAGGGCTGGCTTGCCAGCTGCCTGCCTTGGACACCCATCACGGGCCTCTCGCTGTCTGACGAAACGTTTTCCTGCCCCTCTGTCCAGGTGCAGTTCCAGTTCGTTCTGCTGACTGACACGCTCTACTCGCCGCTGCCTCCTGAGCTGCTGCCCCCTGACTCAGAGAAGAGCCGTGACGGCCGGCCTTTCCCTCGAACGGTGGTTGCTGTTGAGGTCCAGGACCTTAAGAACGGAGCGACGCATTACTGGTCCCTCGAGAAACTCAAGTACGTGAGTGGCACCACAGAGCCATCTGGTTTGTTTATATAAGATCTTTTTACGCCGCCTTTCTGACTGATCAGGATCCCCAGGGCGGTGAATGTGACAAGGGTAAAACAATTAGAAAGAATATTTAAAAATATAAAATAATTCAATGTAAGTGCGTCAGCGTACATCCAGCAGAACCAGGGAGGAGGCCAAAACCCGCTTGGGGGGGGGGCATGTCAAACAAAGCAGAAAAGTCTTGCTGGCAGAAGACACTGATAGAGAGATGAATCTCCCTGGAGAGGGAGGTCTAAAGTTTTAGTGCCACGACCGAGAGAGAGTCAGGCCCGTAGCCAGGATTTTGGGGCTTGTGGGGCAGTTTTTTTTCTGGTGGGGCTGAAGTTCTCAGTGCAGAAAGGAAAACACTTTAGCCAATAGAACGCTGTGACCAGGATAGATCTCTGAATTGCGAGCTGTCAACCACTGTAGACGACAGTTCTCAGCTGCTGCAAGTTAATCACTTCTGCCAGCCTGAGCAACAATTCTGATAACAAGCCGGCAGGTGGGGGTGATGACTTGTAGTCAAGAAAGCGAACACTTAGGCAGGAAAACTCTCTTAAAGGAGACCAGTTTCTTGACACAGAAGGGACCCTAGAGGTCACCTACTCCAACCCCCTTGCTCAGTGTGGGAATTAGCCCACTACAGCACCCCACTCTGCTTAAACGAACGCACACCTTTTAAAAATGTTTTTAAATGACTGGGTGGGGGAAGCATTTACCGGAGAAATTCTTGTGGGGCCCACTATAGCTATGGGCCTGGGGGGGGAGTCCTTTCTTGGTTCACCACCGATCTGGCTTCAGAGGGCAGGGGCAACTGAAGCAGGGCCTTTGAAGATGGCTAGAATGAGCAGGTAGAAGAAGAAGAGATTGGGTTTAGACCCCGCCCTTCACTACCCAAAGGAGTCTCAGAGCGGCTCACAATCTCCTTTCCCTTCCCCTCCCCACAACAGACTCCCTGTGAGGTGGGTGGGGCCGAGAGAGCTCTTTCAAGAACTGCTCGTGAGAGAACAGCTCTGAAAGAATGTGTGGCTGACCAGTGGCTGCATGTGGAGGAGTGGGGAATCAAACCCGGTTCTCCCAGATTAGAGTCCGCACTCCTAACCACTACACCAAAACTGGCTCTCTCAATGTAGATTCATATGGTAGCCAGTGGTCTATCTTGGAAACATCCATAGACCCATCGCTAGGTTTTCTGCTCCCTGTTGCTGATAAGGATGGATGAACCGTCTCTTTTTAAGCTCTCTTCGTTTCCATAAATTCTCATTGTGAACTGTTTGGTCCACTCATTGCTCCCTTTGGGGGTGGGAGGAGATGGCCATCTCCTCATGCACAAAGAACCCTCTGAAATAGATGGCTATGGGTTCTACACTGATTTTGCGACCTGTTCCACTTCTTAGGCAGCGGCTGGAACTGATGCGGGAGATGTATGACCGGGCAGGAGAAATGACATCCAACGTGCAGGAAGAGATTGAGAACACCATGACTGGGAGTGACCCTTTTTACGATCGGTTCCACTGGTTCAAGCTGGTCGGGAGGTAAGTGATAATCAAATCCAGACTGGGTGGTAGATTTTTAAGGACTGTCCCCAAGCGAAGACTTGGACGAAGAATGGAGTCTTGTGGGTAAAGCATGGAAGTGTCTTGAGATCGAAAGCTTTCTGAACCGAAATCAAACCCATCAGCAGAAAAACTGAACCCAAAGAGTCACATTATTTGCAAGCAGGATCGTTCCAGGTTCCCCCAACGTGTGAGGTTCATCTGAGTTGGGAGGTGCTCGTTTGAGAACTCGAGAGCACCTCAGAATGCTGCGATTCTTTCCTAGAATCAAACTATTGTGTTTGTGGATTGTGCTTTTCTGTGTCTGCACAGGTTTTTCCCACCTCTGGAAAAGCTAACCTTTTGGTGTAGTGGTTAAGTGCGCAGACTCTAATCTGGGAGAACTGGGTTTGAGTCCCCACTCCTCCACTTGCACCTGGCTGGATGACCTTGGGCAAGCCATAGTTCTGGCACAGCTGTTCTTGGAAAAGAGCAGTTTCTGTCAGAGCTCTCTCAGCCCCACCTCCCTCCCAGGGTGTCTGTTGTGAGGAGGGGAAGGGAAAGGAGTTTGTAAGCCGCTCTGAGACATCTTTGGGTAGCGAAGGGCGGGGTATAAATCCAATCTCCTCCTCCTCCTCCTCCTCTTCCTTCTTTCTTCTTCCTTCTTTCTTCTTCTGATTACTTTTTAAATTTCTCTGGCGAGGACACATTCAATATGACAATAACACCTATGAGATCCCCTGTACTTTAAGGTCTTGGAAGCAAAGGTGGAGTTTAAACAGGCTGAGGGCTGTAATGCAACCCCTGGTGTAGAGGGACAGTTTTTGGAATGAAGCCTCCCCTATGCTGCTGCATACAATGTGCCTTGCTTCCGAAACAGTTCAGTGGCTGGGGCCAGGAGTGTTTTTGTCATTTTGTACGTTCTTTCGTGTAGTGGCCACTTGAATATAGATTAGGTGGGTTGGCTGTGTTGGTCTTAAGCAGGGGTCATTTCGTAGAAAAAGAGCTAGGGGAACTCATTAGCATAACTCATTAGCATA